GCTGAACTGCCCTTGTCTCTCCTGAGCAGGCTGGTTCTTCCCAACACCCAGGGTGAGCTGTGCAGGAGCCTGCTCCCTCATCATTTACAGAATTAGCGCTCATGCGACCGAGCCTGCCCCAGGCAACTGTTTGCCTGCAGAGGGGGAGGCCCTAAACATCAGACTCAAGATAACCCACTGAGCATCTCCCACTGCAATTTCCAAAGACAGCAGAGCTGCGGGGGTCACTGAAGGGATGTCCAGTCACCCATTTGTACAGCCAGCCGTTCACACCTTCTTCCCAGCAGCAAGAATGTGAACAGTTCTCGTACACTGGAGATCACTTCATCCCAGGCTATGGCTGCACTGCTCTTCCAGAAAAGGCTGCACGTTACAAACCGCAACTTGCATAGCTTTTTCCAGAAGAGGCTTTTTTGACAGCCGTCTACACAGGGCCAAATGTCAGAAAAAAACCCTTTTCCGGAACAGCTGTTCCTCGTAAAACGAGGTTTACAGAGATGCCAAAAAAGCACGTCTGCTCTTCCAAAAAAAATATTTCAGAAGAGCAGACGCATTGCCTGGACACGACAGTTTTTCCCAGGATCCCAGAGGAATCCTGGGGAAAAACTCAGTAGTGTAGACATAATCCCAGACAACACAGGTGCTGAACATGCCCAGCCAACAGATGCTGAATGTTAGGAGCAGGAGGAGACACGAGCAGTGTCTGGGATATAACATTAGGAGAAAATGCAGAAGCAGAGAGATTTTCAAGGGCTGATGGACGAGAAAGGAAACGCTCCCTCGTGCATAGGAAATTGCTTAAACCCCATATGGTTCATTTTAGAAAGTCAGAGGCTCAATATCGTCCCTTACATTTGAGGTGGATTATCCCTGAACTAGACCCAGCCTGTCCACTTCAACAAGGCTCCCGTTGAGTCTAATCTCTTTGGGATAAGCACAGGCTGCATAGGCACGTAGTAAATGCATCTCGCACGGCTGGAGGCCTGATCTGGCGCTATGAACGATCAGTGACCACAGGAGTTTGGGGTGTGCAGGATCAGCCGCTAAATCCAAACGTGCAGGTCAAGTGGATGGAGTGAAACACCAACCAATGTCCCAGAAGTGCCCCGCTGGAGATGGTGCCAGGAGGCTGCCCGGTCTTGTACTCCCATGCCCTGAAAGCAGTACGTTCCAGGCTGATAGAGCAGCAGCGATAGGGATGTTAAAATGCGTGTAACTGATTAAACCTGTAACTGCTGAAAATGTCAGCAGCCAGCTCCCCAGGAGCCGGTGCACACTGGGAGCCAGCACACGGTGTTAGGCAGCTCCCTGGGAGTAGGTGCACGCAGGGAGACGGCTTTTAAGCTGGCTTCCTGTGCACACTGGCTCCTGCCCACGGCCCCTGAAACAAAGGCAGCTCCCCGGTTCCGGACTGGGAGGCCTGTGTAGCTATTTGGGTAACTGATAAGCATGAACCTACCGGTTTCCCATTTAAACAGCTACATTCTTACATCCCTAGGCAGCAGCTGTGTTAATTGGCAGACGCCGTTCAGCAAGCAGCAGCTTCCAGAAGAGAAGACAAGGACTCCGGCTCCGTGCTGCAGCGGAAGGCTGAATTTGCTCAGAACGCCCCACAGCCCTCCCTGCGAAAGCAGCAGGCACCTCCGAACAGGGCAAGCCTATTGCAAATCCAAGCGTTCGAGGTGAGGGCGGCCCCAAGCAGCGGGGGGTTCGCACAGACACTTACGTTTGAGGACGGCAGGCGCTGGATGTTTTCCAAAGCACTGAACTGCTGGTTCCCACCGTCAGGGTGATCCGCTGCGAGAGAAGGAAAAACCGCCGGTGTGATCCCAGGCTGGTGCTATCACCTGCGTGACGGCCGCACTTGGGACCCCGCTGTCCTAGAAGCAGCCCCAAAGAGCTTTCCATCCGACAGGCAAGGCAGACGGAGGAAGGAGTCTCCCTTTGTACAGATACAGAACAGGGACTCAGACCAACAGATTTGCCTGAGACCCACCCAGGGATTGTGGGGCAGAGGCAGAAATGGATCCCTGATCTCCCAAATCCCTATTCAGGGCCTTCACCACAAGCCCATCCTTCCTCACGTCATTGGTTGGTGCTTTTACACCCTTCGGACAAAGCCTCCTTGCAGACGTTGTGCATTTCGTACCCCGGGTGTCCCGAGGCGCTCTGCTGAGTCAGCCAGCGAGAACACAGGGGCTGATGCAGGGGAGGCGTGTCACTAGCACTTGCTCACACCGACTGTAGGAGATGGCATGTGCAGAGTGCTCGGCGTTTTCAAGCTGCCGTACAGACACTCAGCCAGTCTTCCGACCTCCTTGGGATGTGATCTGCATGACTATCCCCCACTCGCAGAGGGATAGGAAAAGGGGGACAGAATTAAAGGGACTTGCCCAAGGCTATATGACATGTCAGTGGCGGAGGTGCTCGATTCCAAGCCACCACTCAGTCCTCCTAAAGCAAGCTGCCTATTTTACTGGGTGTTGGAATCCTGCTAAGGACAGAGGGGTTTTCCCCTGACTTTGTTTGAAAAAAGAAGATCCTGGAAGCTTTTCTAGCTGGTGTGGTACGAACCCAAGGGACAGCAAAGCAGCCCCTCAGCTTGCTTACTTTAGAGAATCATGTAGAGATCACGTTCCCTAACAGGATCGCCTCTGTCCATGCCAAGTCACATTTAATATCACACTCGAGGGTCACGTTAACACAGCCTCCTTTTCTAGCAAGGTCGGCCTTATCTCGCACTGTGCAAGGGCCTTGTGAACAGGACCCTCCACCGACTAACTTGGCACCCACCGACTAACCTGCACTGGTATTCCAAGTCGCACCAGGGGCTCAAACTTTTCGTGACCTCCCTTCCCAAACGGGTGAACAAATAGTCATGCCCCTCAGAAGGGTAAAACAGAAAGATTCCCCCCACGCTGGAGGCTCCCTTTTTATAGCTGGAGCCTTTTTGGAAGCGTAGCTCAGCCCCTCAGCATTGCCTGACAAGTCTCCCTCGGTGCTGAGTCATTTCCACTCGGGACTGCACAAAAGCAGAACCGGGGACGGCCTGTTCATTGGCTAGTTCTGCTTTTGTCAAAGCCCCTCTGAAAATCAGCGAATTCAAGGGGGGAAAGCCAACTCAGCAAAGAGCTGGAGAAAGGCGCACAGTCCAGCGACAGGGGAGTCCTGCACCTGGGTTCTGCTCACGGACCTTCCCCGCTACGCAGCAAGAGCCTAGTTAAGTCGCTAAGGCACGTCTACGTTGTTTCGGAATAACGTCGTGCGCGTCTACACAGCAAGCCCGCTATTTCACAGTCAGTCAGTGTGAAAGAACGGGCTTCCTACTCCAAGCTGCGTAACCCTCGCTGTACGAGGAGGGAGGGGAGTGGGGAAGAGAGCTCTATTTCCAAGCGAGTGCTGTGTAGACAGCCCCGAAAGCCGGAATAAGCGATTGGGACGTAAGCGACACCAATAGCATCACTCGAGTTGCGCCGCTTGTTTCGAGTTTGGCTCTGCTCGTAGACGTGCCCGTCGGGTCTGACTGCCACCGGTGCCTTGCGCCCACCATACGTCTGACCTCACGGGGGACAGAATCCTTCCCAGGCTTGAAACCTCAGGCCCCGCACCCCTCTGAGCTCGCAGCCGCTTAACGTCGGGATGCTAGGACCACATGGCACAGCCCAGCCCCCCCTTCCAGCTGGCAGCTACTTGAGCAGCCTCAGAGCTTTCCCCCTCCTTCCGTCCCTGTGCTCTAAGGGCTCAGAGACATCCCTTTCGCTCCGCACTTGCCTGATCAGACTCTCCCTCTTAAAATTGGCCGAGACCAAGGCACAGGGAGGCGACTGGGGGGTTCCAGGCACCTCCGTTTTGGGGGAGCCTCGTGGAGACACTTTTGTGGACGGACTTCTACAAAGTGCTGAGCACTTAGCCAGATTCTTCCAGCGCCTCTCCGACGGGGGCCCCCAAAATCATTATTTTTGAGAGGCCAGGCCGCAGAGACTCCCCAAGGCCACACGGACCGAACCCAGGAGCTCCTGATGCCCCCGCCTGCTTTCCCCACCAGCCGGCCTGCCTCCGGATTACTGCTCTACCGCCGCCACGCTGAAGTGAAAACAGAGTCTTACTTGGATCCGCCTGCTGCGTGTCCTCAGCCAGGGTCCCATCTAGGTTCCCATGGAGAGAGAGCTTTGGGACAAAAAGGAACAGGTCTCCTCTAGGGAACTGGCGAGACTCATTTTCCTCCCTTTTCCCTCCGAGAGCCCCAGGATTCCTCAAGTTTCCCCTTCCCCTCTGGCTAGAGTTGCCAAATGTAGCTCTCCCCTTGGTGAGCCGCCTGTAGACACAGATGCTCTATGCACACAGGAGGCCAAACACTGCTCCGCCCCCAGAGGGGAATAATTCTATTGTGTGGACAGCCTCCTTCATCCCGGCAATACCCTCACCCGTTGCTGAACGCAGCTGCCTCCAGCACCCCTTCCCCAGCGGCTGGAGCAGCACGGGGGGGAAGCAGAGGCTGGCTCTCCAGTGGGGTGCACGGGGGACACAAGGAGGCAGGTTGTCAGCGTCTGCGCTGGGGTTTCACTAGGCCACCGGGAAGGAGCTAGGATCTGTACATGACCACACGGGTCCCGGGCCTTAGATCTCCCCTGGAGGGTACAGAGCTGCGATGGTTCCAACCCGTTAAGCCGGCCCTGCCTCCCACCCCATTTCACAACACTAGCGCCCCTTCACCCGGCTGCTTTCCACAGAGACCCAGGCTGCAGCGGCATAGGGTGGGGCTTGGGAATACTCAGGGCTCCTTTGCATCCAGGCAGAGGGTCAGGAGGATCCCTTTTTATTCCCGCCTGGCATCTTGCTGGGAAATTCGAAGGACTAGGCAGAACCACCAGCTTCTGGCCGTGCTAGGGACCACGCTGGAAAGCTGCCTCAATGCTTGTCCCTTCTGCTCAGAGTCCGAGGGGCTCCCCACGCCAGGGGGGCTGCAAAACGGGGCCCTTTTATTTGGATCCCGATCAAAGTCACGCTCACAGGGCCCTGCGTCTTGGCCCAGAATCTGAGCTGCTGCCCAGGGGTGCTTGGAGGATGCTCACAATGGGTGCACACACCCCCTTCCCTGTAAGCTAGGTGCTTGGGCAGCCACCCAGGAGAGATTCAGCTGCCCCCCCCCAGCATATGTTTGTATGGGTGGTGCACACCCACATATGCCTCAGTGTGTGTAACAAAATTTATTCCACACACGGATGGAAAAAATTAGAGGGAATATTGCTCCTGATCCCGCCTGGCCACCGAGCTGGTCTCCAGCATGAAGCGGAGCAACCTTAGTTCTACTCTAATCCTGGTCCCAGCTCTCAGGGCTGCTTAGAGCAGTCTGCCTTCGCCACGCCCCTCTCCCCCAGACACACACGCTGTTCTGGCAGCGGCCAAGTGGGCAGGACAGACGAGCTGCTAAGGGAGGGTCTGCACCTTCTAGAGGCGTCTCAGCACCAGGGGCCTCCTCCGTTGGCTGATTACGTGGCAGTGGGGGGTGGGAGGGGAGTTCCCGGGCGCTGCGCACCACTGGAGCACAAAGAGAACCTGGCTGCAAGTTATCCGCTAAGGAGCCTTTGAGCAGAACTTGGTAGCCCAGAGACCCGCCTGAGGGAGGTCAGAAGAAAGCCACTTTCCTCACCTCGAGGGAGCTTCTGGGCGAGGTGTCATCTAGGTCAGAGGTCTGGAATGGTAAGAAAACAAGCCAGTCAGGGCCGATCTGGAGAGCACGCCAGTGCTCCCTGGAAGCCGGGCACTCGGGCGGCCACCCTGGAGAAATTCAGGTGCCACCCAGCTCATTAGCAGAGCACTCCCAGCATGCTCTTCTACTGGTGGGGCGTGCCCCTCAGTGCACATAACATTTATTCCTCATGCAGACGGAAAAAAAAAGATTTGCGGGAACATTGGAGCATGCCCCACAGGAGAGCGCGGAAGCGACGGCGCACAGAACGAAAGCGATTCACCAATTCTCGCTGTTGCCTCCCCCTATTGGTCCAGCCAGAAGGCACCCAAGCGACCACGATGTTCTGGGCTTCGGAGCAGAGCGCTGGTACATCTTCCCACCCCGGCGGCTCAAGCCGCCACCTTCCTGGGCGTCAGTTGCCAGTGACCGGCAAGTTGGCCTGGATGCCCCAGGGCCAGCCCCAAACGCAAACCCGGAAGGGGTGCGTTTGCGCAGGTGGAGACTGTACCCAGGGGGAGCTCTGCAGCGGCCAATCCCAGCATCCCTTGTCTGACTACAGCGGCCGATTGCTGAACGGAGGCTGATCCCAACCACAGACGGTGGCGGTGTCTGAAGCGAGTGAACGCCCACAGCCGGGGCCCACCTGCCTTTTCCCCTACCGGAGGATAGTACCCGCAGGCAGCCGCAGATTCCTGCAGACCTACCAGCACGGGCGGTTCCTGGTGCAACCTTTTCAGCTTGGCCTCGGCGGCTAGTAACTGGCCTTCCTTCTGGAACAGCTGGAGCTGCATCTCGTCGTACCGCTCCCCCAGCTCCCGGATCTCCTTGCGGTAGGCGTCTTTGGCGACCAGGCTCTTGGAGTATTGCGTGTGGAACTGCTCTCGGGTCAGCAGCGCCTGGGGCGGGAAGCGGGAGGGCAAAGCGGTCACCCACAGGGTGTCTGAACCTGCACTGCCCGTTACTTCGGCAGCCGGGCTCCACGCAGGAGACGGTCTCACCTGGTCTCTCTCGGCCGCCACCTCCTCTATCTGCTTCAAGATGGCCTCGATGCGATCCTTGTACATCCGGGAGTCCTTCCGCAGGGCCGTGCACTGCAGCTCCAGCACCTCCTTCTCCTCCACGTGCTGCAAGGAAAGCACAGGAGCACCTGGGGCCAGCTTGGCAGAGAAACCCAGCACTGGCGGCAAAGGGGCTCACTTCGCCCTCACTACAACCCGCGGGTGGTTCAACAATCAGACTGAGGGCGGAGCCGGGCCGGAGCACGGAGACTCTTCTACAGTCGGCCAAGGCCAACAGCACAGGAGTCCACACGACTGTTCAGACAGCCAACACTCGGAGCAAGGGTTAGGAAGCTGCTGAAGGGACCCCTCTCACTCTCATGCATCTGAGACATTAACAATACAAGCCCCCGGCTCCAGAACGCCGCAAAGACAACTGAAGGCCAAGCACAAGGGCCAGCTCTAGGGCAGAACACACACTAAAGGGCCTGGAGGGTGAGTCGGAGGCAAGGAGACCTGGTTAAATCCCAGCTCCAGCCCTGGCTTGTCTTCCACAAGTGAAGGGACCCCTCTCACTCTCATGCATCTGAGACATTAACAATACAAGCCCCCGGCTCCAGAACGCCGCAAAGACAACTGAAGGCCAAGCACAAGGGCCAGCTCTAGGGCAGAACACACACTAAAGGGCCTGGAGGGTGAGTCGGAGGCAAGGAGACCTGGTTAAATCCCAGCTCCAGCCCTGGCTTGTCTTCCACAAGTGGGGGGGGGGGGGGGGGGGGCGATGCTTACACCTATTGAGAACGTGCACTGAGATTGGCAAGGGGGAAAAGTGCTTTGAAGGCATCATCCACTGTCTGTGTGTCCCTGGCCAGCCTCTCAGTAGTGCCCCATGTTCTTCATTTCTACTTCAACAGCCCGGCGCCACGTTGTCTTGGGTCGGCCTCGTTTCCGCTTCCCCTCCGGGGTCCGGCGCACAGCAACCTTTGTGATGGAGCTTCCATCTTCTGCCTAATCCATCTCCAGCATCTTTTCATAACGATGGCGGCCATGTCGTCTTGTTGGCGCCGCACAAGCAGGTCCTGAGTGGAAATTATTCTTGGCCAAAAAATACGGAGGATCCTCTGAAGACTTCTGGTGTGAAAAGTCGACAAGGTTGTACTCGGTCATCCGCCAGCATTCTGATCCGTTGATAAAACACAGCGCTGATGACACTTCAGCTTGGCATGGATGCTGGGCTGTGCTGACTTCCACACAGCATTCAGACTCAAAGACATTTCTGGCTTTACTGAGTCTGCTCTTGCTATCGCTTCTGACGCCTCCGGCTTGGCTGATGTACTACCCAAGGATCTAAAGCTCTCTGATAGGTAGGTCTTGGTCATCGATCTTAACTGATGCTGGTACCTCAATATTTAGGGTCATGACTTGGGTCTTCTGGCTAACTCTCAATCTGACCTGTTTTCCGAAGGTGCAGAGTCGATTGGTCTTCTCTTGCATATGACGGTGCGGAAGAGAGCAGCATGAGGTCATCAGCAAAATCTAGGACCTCTAATGTGGACAAGACAGTCCATCTGATGCCTCTTGGATCATCTTCTGTTGCACGCCGCATAACCCAGTCTATGACTAAGTTAAAGTGCATCAGAGACATGACGCATCCCTGCCTTACTCCAGTCTTAACTTGGAAGCATAGATCCCTGTTCCCCACGCTGCACGCGAAATTGTTATAAAAGCTCTTAATGAGCGATGCTACTTGTGGTATTCCATACGCTCTCAGAACATGCCAAAGGCTTTTTTGAAATCAATCAAGTTGATGGACAGCTGCCTCTCCTATTCAATGCATTGCTCAATGATGTTATGCAGTACAAACATTTGCTCTACACCCTCCCCCTTCCTTTGCGAAAGCCAGCTTGTTCTTTCCTCAGTGTTTTGTCAACAGTGTCTACGATCTGCTGAATAACGATCTTAGCAAGGATCTTGCTTGGCACTGAAAGCAGTGCTGCCACGCCAGTTGTTACAGTCATTGAGTGCTCCCTTCTTGGGTATCTTAATTCTGTTGGTCTATTCCTCTGGCACCTGCTTCCCTTCCCATATTGCTGTAAAGAGCGGTAGGAGAACAGTGGCTGCAAGTTCTGGGTCTACCTCGAACAATTCAGCATTGAGATTGCTGTGAAGTGGAGCGATTCTTTAGGGATCTTACGGACATGCTCCTTTCTCCCATTGTTGGCGGAGCAGTATTTATGTCAAGGTCTGTTTCCATTTCTAGAATATCAGCTGCTTCTTCTGGTGGTGGCCTGTTTAGAACTTCCTGAAAATATTCTGCCCAACGGGCAAGTAGAGTTTGTCCATGACAGGAACACTTGTACTGCCGTGATATTTACTGCAAACAAGCTTGGTGATTTTAAAAACCTTTCCTTGCTCTTCAAGAAGCTGCTTCTTCAGCTTGTGCTGCTAGTTCCTCTATATGAGCTCTTCTTATCAGCTCTTACCAATTTCTTCAGTCCCCGGTCTGCTTCTTTGTATCGCTGCTGGTATCTCTCTCTTTCAGTCTTCCTGATTTAGCATCTGAGTTTCTTCTTTAAGGTACGTCTATTACCTTACATCTATCCATACATTTTTTCTGTTTTTATTTGAAACCTAGACAGTTCTCGCTGCTCCTTAGGTATATTGTAATTTGTTCCCATTTCTTCTTAACTTTTTCTATTCTGTGAGTTTCTGCAAGATCTTTTAGTGCTTGAAACTAGTTTTTTTACCTTAAGGACAAAAGCATTCTAACTTTGGGGTCTTGTAGCTTCTCTATATCAAAGCGTTTCTGCATGGGTATCTTGTGACTAGTGCTTCTTAGCTTAAGTTTTATGAGGGCTGTCACAAGGTGGTGATCACTGCTGACATCAGCCCTGGTTTTCATCTTGACATCTAGTAACGAGCGTCTCCATGTTCCATTGATCATCAGATGGTGGATCTGAAATCTGTAGCGAGCGCCATGTTAACTTGTGAATTTCGCACTGAGGAAAGAGCGTACCTCCGATGACAAGATTATGTAAAGTACAGAGTTCCACTAACTCTCTCCATTCTCGCTCATGGTACCACACCCAATGTGTCCCCATGGTTCTATTATTGTGCGTAATATCCCTCCCAACTTTAGCGTTCAAGTCTCCCATAACTATTAGAAGATCATGACGTAATGCGGTCTTTATTTCAGCTTGAAGCTGTTCATAGAATCTCTCTCTCTTCTTCACTTTCATTTGTTGGGACATAACACTGGATTAATGTAATGTTTACATGTCTACCTTTCATCCTGGCTCTCACCAGTCTGCTGTTGATTGGTTTCCATTCTAGCACACATTTCTCTATTCCTTTCTTCAGGACGATAGCTACTCCCTCCTGGTGTTGGTCATCATCCCTCCCAGAAAAAAGGACTGTTTCACCAGTATTCGTCTTCATTCTTCCTGATGCAATCCATCTACTCTCATGGATACCAAGGATATGTAGTTTGTAACGTCTCACTTCCTTTGGAATCTGCGCAAGCTTACCCGCTTCATACAGGGTACGTACATTCTAGAACCCAATTGTGGTCAATCTTGGAGCTCAGGACGTCCCACCTTCATGTCAGTAGCTTCATTTCTGCTTTCAACACTGGCAGTCACACGAGTCACTCTGGAAGGCCGTCACACAGTGGAGAAGGAATTCTAGGCTGCTGTTTCCATCACAAAAGCTTTTTCTAAGTCAGGGGTTTAGCGCGGAGCCAAAGCCCCAATCCTGGGGGATCGGTGTGCAGGCTTAGCCCGGCTCCTCTCCTTGACCTTTCTGGCTTGGTTGAATGTACCAGGAGCACTAAGTTCCCGCCGGCATAGCTCCTGGGATCGTAAGAACACACAAGCTGCCCTGCCCCAGCAAGGCACATGCACAAGGGGCAGGCTTTGAAGGCAAAGGGGGGGGGGGAATTGTTCTCCTTGGCCTCTGAGGATAGAACAAGAAGCAATGGGCTTAAACTGCAGCAAGGGAGGTTGAGGTTGGACATTAGGAAAACCTCTTTGTCAGGGTGGTTAAACACTTGGATAAATTGCGCAGGGAAGTTGTGAAGTCTTTAAGAGCGGGTTGGTCAGGGATGGTCTAGATCAGTGGTCCCCAACCTTTTGGAGCTGCTGCGCATGCGCCACGTATCCAGGCGCAGGTCCGCACATTCACCACGCGCCTGGGGCCAGCACTCCCCAGGCACCATGCGCCCGGGGGTGGGGCCGCCCATTTAAACACTTGGATAAATTGCGCAGGGAAGTTGTGAAGTCTTTAAGAGCGGGTTGGTCAGGGATGGTCTAGATCAGTGGTCCCCAACCTTTTGGAGCTGCTGCGCATGCGCCACGTATCCAGGCGCAGGTCCGCACATTCACCACGCGCCTGGGGCCAGCACTCCCCAGGCACCATGCGCCCGGGGGTGGGGCCGCCCATTCGCCGCACGCCCGGGGGCGGGGCCGCCCATTCGCCCAGGG